TTGTATTTTTAGTAGAGATGGGGTTTTGCCATGTTGGCCAGGCTGCTCTTGAACTCCTGGCCTCAAGGAATCCGCCTGCCTCGGCCTCCCAAAGTGGTGGGATTATAGGCGTGATCCCAGCCCAGCCTGGTAGTTCTTTATAGTGACACAAGGACTAATACAGGGTCCTTCCTTAGATTGGAAGCAGAGTCCTTACTGTGGGGATAATATCAGAATAATGCTAGAACACTTTCTGCTGCAAGGGACAGAAACCCACCTCAAACCAGCTTAAGCATAAAAAGGAAACTTATCAACTCACTGATTCAACTAGGGTAGGCAGGATTACGCTGTGGTAGGAAACAACCCCATCTTAGAACAACAAAGGATTGATTTCTTGCTCACGACACACGTCTATCACAGGTGAACTGAAACTTCAGTCTGTATCTCCTCACTCAAGGGGCCAGGTGCCCAGGCAGATGGAGCAGTCACCATCATCATCCGTCTCTGTGACAGCGAGGAAAAACCCCCTAGGGGGAGTGGCAGCCATCTGAAAAATGCTCTGCCCAGAAGTGAGACTTACCACTTCTGCTCACAACTGCCCAGTCCCAGCCAGTCACATGGCCCCATCTGGCTACAGAGGGTCAGGAGGTACAACCCTGCCATGTGCCCCGAAGGCCAAAAGCTGGAAATATTTGGTGAATAGCGTAATGACTTACATACTCATGTATCTAAACAGTCCAGGAGAAACATGGTTTCAGGCATGGCTGGATCCAGGATCTCAAGAGCTATTACTGGGACTATGTCTCCATCTCTCAGCTCTGCTTTCTTGTGTGTTTCTAGCTGCCCCTCCCAGTACCCTCCTTACAGCTTAGTAATCCAAGCAGAAAGAGAGTATGGACCAGCTAGGGTATGTCTGTCCTTAAACTGTACTATTGCCAGGGGGAAGAAATGTCCTATTGGGCAGGCCTGGGTCACGTAGCCACTCGCAGATCTGGGGTCGGCCATGTCTCCAAACTGCTGCACAGGCAGATGCAATGGGCACCCACAGGGGTCTGCTAAACCTTCCTCACCTCTTAATCTAGGTACTTTCCAACAGGGCAAGGTGAAAAAGAGCTGAAATTGGCATCAGGAGCCCAGAGTTCTGGTTCCAACTCTGACCACTCATTCAGTGTGTGACCTCAGGCAGGTGACCAGCCTGAGGTGTGCCTTCATTTCATCTGTCAAATGGATGACTCTGCCCCTCAGAGCTTGCAAGGTGAGGAATGCGGCAGCTGGCAAAGTGATGTTGCTATTGGTCCTCCTTCCTCTTAAGTGAGGCTTGTCAGCAATTCTGGCCTGGTCTTTGGAGGGCAAGGAGCCACCCGTCCCACTTGCTCCTGACCCTTGGTCATACCTCCAGGCCTTTGTCCAGGCTCTTCCCTCTGCCCCAAATAGCTAGTACATCTAAAACTCCTATTCATTTTTCTTTTTTCTTTTCTTTTCTTTTTTCTTTTTTTTTTTTTTTTTTTTTTTGAGATGTAGTCTCACTCTGTCACCCAGGCTGGAGTACAGTGGTACAATCTCTGCTCGCTGCAACCTCCGTCTTCCAGATTCCCCTGCCTCAGCCTCCTGAGTAGCTGGGATTACAGGCATGCGCCACCACACCCAGCTAGTTTTTGTATTTTTAGTAGAGACTGGGTTTCACCACGTTGCCCAGGCTGGTGTCGAACTCCTGACCTTAAATGGTCTGCCCACCTCGGCCTCCCAAAGTGCTAGGATTACAGTCATGAGCCACCACTCCCAGCCTCCTATTCATTTTTCAAAGTCCAACCAACACCACCTCCTCCCTGAAGCCCCCTGCTCCTCTTGATGTTCTCTTTGGGCTACCATCGGTAAGTGAGCTGGGCCTCACTCATACCAGCCAAGAGAGCGGACTGTGCATATCTCTTCCCAACTCTGTGTTTAGACTCAAATCAGGAGCATTAAATTACACCATGGAAATAAGCAAATGCTACAAATCAGGCTTTATTGAGTGCCTACTATGTGCCAGGCTGAGACTAAAGAAGGAGAATCACTTGAACCGGGGAGACAGAGTTTGCAGTGAGCCGAGATTGTACCACTGCACTCCAGCCTGGGCGACAAGAGTGAGACTCTGTCTCAAAAGAAAAAAAAAAGAAAAAGAAAATGTTGCTAAGAAGTATTTTCTTAGCTACTTAATTCACACTTCAACAGGTTCTCTGACAAATCAATGACAAAAAACTTGATCTCCCTTCAGTTATCCAGGATGAACAAAAAAGACATAGACAAAGTGAACAAAATAGAGTTGCTGGCCTGGTATGACTTGTGTTTTATCTTTACTTTGTTTCCAGTATGCGTTTATCTCTGTCTATCCAACCAACCGTTCTTCCTTCAAGTTCTTTATTAAAGCCATTAAGAGTAATAGCAAAGACTTTTGCACCAACTTAATACCATCCTCCTATCCATCCACACATTCAACCATCCTCCACCCACCCTCCTACCTACTAATCCGTCCTTTCAGGTGATGAGCCAGCTCTTGTCTCCAACTTTTATTTTTAAGAGACAGGGTCTTGATCTGTGACCCAGGCTGGAGTGCAATGGTGCAATCACACAGCTCACTGCAGCCTCAAACTCCTGGGCTCCAGTGATCCTCCCACCTTAGCGTTCTGAGCAGCTGGGACTACAGGCAAGCACCACCACGCCCGGCTAATTTTTTAAAAAAATAATAATTTTTGTAGAGATGGGGCCTTGCTATGTTGCCCAGGCTGGTCTTGGACTCCTGGCCTCAAGTGATCCACCTGCCTTGGCCTCCCAAAGTGCTGGGATCACAGGTGTGAGCCACTGCGCCTGGCCTCCAACTTTGCTCCTCTGTGTTTATGGACTGAGTTCCCTTCAAAGGTGGAATCCTGAGAAGCCTCGTCTGCCCCAGTCCAGAGCCCCCCAGTCTGGCCTCAGTCAGGCCCTCCCCAGCCATCTGTGTTCCCCTCCCCCACCCAGCAAGCTCTGGGTGCTGGAGAGCTGCGCTGGTTTCCTGGGAGCCTGTGGCTCAGGTGACACCTGCAGGTGGCTCCCAGAACCTGTTGCCCCCAAGAAGGTGTGAAAACCACAGCACATCTGGACCCAAGAGTCCCTAGGGTGCAGGTGCAAGGGGTGCTGAGGGCTGCCCCCCGTGAAGAAGCTGTGCTTCTACTCTTGTGCTCCCATCCAAGTCTCACACCCCTGGATCCCAGGCTCACAGTCCCACTCTTATAACCATCAGTCTAAAACCTTCCAGCCTCCTGCCAGGCACCAAGGACTCTCATGCATTCTCTCAGCTACCTCTCCCAACCACCCCATTTCACAGATGAGAAATGAAGGAGCTTTCAGCAGGACCGACTTCTGCTGAGTTCCAACGCAACCCTGCTGCAAAAGCATGAGAGAGCCAGAGCCAGCTCCTCCAGCGCGGCCCTGCAGCCTGCAGTCTGACCTTTGGGGAAGACGGGGCCGGGCCAGGGTGGCCCCAGCTCTATTAAAAATACAAAAATTAGCAGGTGTAGTGGTGGGTGCCTGTAATTCCAGCTACCCGGGGGCTGACGAAGGAGAATCGCTTGAACCGGGGAGACAGAGTTTGCAGTGAGCCGAGATTGCACCACTGCACTCCAGCCTGGGCGACAGGAGTGAGACTCTGTCTCAAAAGAAAAAAAAAAGAAAAAGAAAATGTTGCTAAGAAGTATTTTCTTAGCTTCTTAATTCACACTTCAACAGGTTCTCTGACAAATCAATGACAAAAAACTTGACCTCCCTTCAGTTATCCAGGATGAACAAATAAGATGCAGGACTGAACTGGGGCAGGGTGGGGGGCCCAGCAGGACGTGTGGCTGGAGCACACTGCATGGTTCTGGCCTGCACCCTCCCTCCATGAATGTCACGGGGGAAGGGTCCCATGAGCCTTGGCCTGCTATGTAATTGGTGTTTAACAAATATCTCTTGAGCGCATAAAGGGAATTTTTTAAAACTTAGTAGCAGAAGTTAGAAAAAGAAATCTTGGTTGGTGGGGAGCTGTTTCCACGAGACGAAACAGACTGATTTTAAGCCTGGAAACCCCCTGAGTGGCCCTCTGCAAGTGGGATGGCCCCTCGGGCACCCAGGCTGTCACTGACGATTGATGTTCTCACCCCCGCCCGCCTCGGCTCTGGCCACAGAAGGAAGGAAGCTGACGTTTATTGAGGGTCTGCTCTGGGCTGTGTACTGTACATGGGTGACATTGCCAATTTCCCCCAGGTGGGTCATGCCTTCCCCATTGTCCGGACACGGAAACTCTAGACCAGAGAGGGGCGGCGACTTGGCTCAGGTAGCACAGCCAGAAGGTATCAGAGTCGGGATTCAGACCTTCGTCCATGGGCCACCCCAAATCTTCCCATTCCCGGGGTCACTGTGGGCTCACTCCATCCCCTTTCCCTTCCTGCTGGCAGGTGATAAGGAACAACGTGGACTTCTTGCAGCTCCTGGAGGCAGAAGCTGGAGGGCTGGACTCGGCCTCTGTCACACAATGCCCTGATCCCACAAAGCCCCGGAGGTACTGTGGACCAGCTTGCAACACAAGACCCTAGAAGGGAAGATGACTGTTGTCATCTGTTGACCACAGACATGTTTGCTGTGCACACTCGTGCACGTGGGTGAGCTCCGTGGGCCCAGATATGTACAGGGCAGGTGAATGTATGGAGTACCACAGGCATTATTCCAGGCCCACAGGCACATGCAATCACACACACAGGTGGACGTGCCACTGCGCACCTAAGACACACACACACTCACGCACGCATATGCACACACACACGCATATGCACACACACACGCATATGCACACACACACACGCATATGCACGTGCACGCACACACACACACACACACACTGTAAACATCAGGCTCAAAGGCCCATCCAGGAGACCAAAGGCTACAGGTGTCTTCACATCATAGCTCAAGTGGCCTTGTCTCTGGCTCAGGGCCCAGTGGCCTGGCCAGCTCTGGACAGCCAGTCAGCCTCACTAGCTGGCCTGGGGTCCAGGGCTCGAAAGTGGCGGGGGAATGACCACCCACTGGCGGAGGTAGCTCCGGGGGGGCCCTTCGTCCCCGGGGGTGGTGAAGTCACACTCCACAGGGCTGCTGCAGTCAGAGCCCACGAAGCCACTGTCAAACGTGTCCATATCCAGGCCAGCCGGGGGTGAGCCCGCCTCACTCTCTGAGACCCCTCCGGGCGACTGGCCACCCCAGGGCAGTCCCCCAGCCCAGTCCTCCCCATCCGCAAGGGGTGGCTTTAGTCTGTCCAGGAGGCTTCCCAGGGGTCCTCCTAGCCCAGGGCTGCCAGCTGAGACACAGCCACAGGAGAGGACTGTGGTTCCCGCGCCCAAGAGTGGATCATCTAGGCCTGGGCTGGGCTCCAGGCCAGCGTCCAGGTCCAGGGCTGGGTAGCCGTCATCCTCACAGCTGCAGGGCCAGGTGCATGGCCCCTCTGCATCTAGCACAGTCACTGTATCGATGGACACCACGCCGTACGGCCGGTCCCTCTCCTCGCTGTAAGCTGAGCCTCCTGAGTTCTGGGCCGTCGCCCAGAAGCTGGGCTTGGACACGCCGTCAGACTCCACCAGCTCTGTTGGTTCTTGTAGCTCCGTGAGCTGCAGCCTCTTGGCCGGGCTCTGTGGTGGGTGGCAGCTGTACACCTCCAGGGCTGAGGGCACTTCTGGGCTCCAGGGTCCCAACTCCAGCCTGGAGCCAGTGAAGGGGGCACCCACCCACTTCTGTGAAAGAGAAAAAGAGAGAGAGTCTTAGCACGGGATGAGGGTAAGGTGAGGGTTTATTTATTTTTTTACTTTTATTCTTTTGAGACAGTTTGGCTCTGTCACCCAGGTTGGAGTGCAGTGGTACCATCTCGGCTCACTGCAACCCCTGCCTCCCAGGTTCAAGTGATTCTCCTGCCTAAACCTCCCAAGTAGCTGGGACTACAGGCGCCTGTCACCACACCCGGCTAATTTTTGTATTTTTGATAGAGATGGGGTTTCACCATGTTGGCCAGATTGGTCTTGAACTCCGGCCTTCAGGTGATCCACCCGCCTCAGCCTCCGAAAGTGCTGGGATTATAGGTGTGAGCCACCGCGCCCAGCCAAGGTGAGGGTTTAAACAGACAGAAAGACAGACACAGACACAGAGACAAGACAAAGAGACATCGAGAGAGAAAGACAGAGACGTGAAGATAGACAAAGACACTGAGAGAGAGAGAGCGAGGAATCAGGACCACGATGTGCTCCTACCCTAGTGGGGGCCCCACTGGTGTCCCCTTCCTACTCTGTGCCTCAGTTTCCCTACTTGTAGAAGGGAGTTGCTACCCTTAGTAATGTGATCACTCAGCCAACTGGTGGTCCCATAGCCCAAGCAGGGGCCAAGATTCCTGAGTCAAGGAGACATGGGGGCAGGAGGGCCTGACGTCTGAGGTACCCCTGAGCCACCTCCTGCTTTCCCTCCTCCTTGATGCTTCTTGAAACCTAGCACTCTCCTGGTTTATGTGTCACCACCAGACAGAAACTTGGCCCCCAGGCATAAGTCTTGTCTCTTCTGTCCATGGTTGTAGCCCCAGTACCTAGCACACAGTAGGTGCTCAATAAATGTCTATTAATAAAATGAATGAGTGGAGTGGATCAGTGAAAAGCCACTTGGAAAGGCCTTTGTATACTTTGAGGATAAAGGATGTGAGTGATGCTGGCTGAGGCGGTGGCCCTTAAACTTGAAGGACCCTCCCCTTCCCTTCCCTGTCCAGACTCCCACTCATGACACCAGAATCCTCATGCAATTGGCAAGGAAAATCCCAGAGAGTGGGAATCTCCCTGTTTTGAGCTCATCTTCCTCAAAAACTCATCTCAGAACTGTGATGTGACTACCACCACTGATTTAAAGTCACTTCTCAGCTGTGTGCCCTTAAGCCAATTACTTACCCTCTCGGTGCCTCAGTTTCCTCATCTGTAAAATGGACCTAATAATAGCACCCATCCATAGAGTCATCGTGAGAGTTAAATGAGTCACTGTTTGTGATGCTCCTAGGGGACTGCCTGGTATATGGCAAGTGCTATAGGACTACTGGTAAAAATCAACCCAAAATAAATGTGATATTTAAGCTTTAGGGAAGAGGAAAGGGTGGGTCTTATGTGGGTGAGAGTCCAGGTTCCTCTCTGCCCACTCTGAGCTTTGGCCTCCTCGTGGGTGCCCTGGGAGCAGTAGAACATCCGCTCCGCAGGGGCTGCTATGAATATGAGAATGAGTGAGGCAGGAAGGGTGTCCAGTGCAGCGCCAGGCAGACAGCAGGAGCTCAATCAATGCTCTAGGTCTGCACAGTCTGACTTTCAGGCTCAGCTGCAGCAGGTGGGGCTGCCCCTCCCACCTCTGTCACCACATCCTCTCTGCGGCAGCCCCTCCCACTGCTGCAGGGTGGGTGACAGGGCTGTAAATGGGCACAGACAACCTGTGGGTGCTGGCAGGAGGTGGCGAGTTGGAGGCTTGGTGAACATTGGGGCCAGACCCTTCCCAGAACCCACTCCCTCTCCAACCCAGGTTAAGGGCACCTAAGAAAGGACCACGGGGGCAATCTGTGACTCAAAAGACCACCAGCCTCACCCCCTCTCCCAGTCTGGCTCCTTGGGCTGGGTCAATTCTGCATTATTTTGTTTACTCTTTCTTTTTGATTTTTTTTTTTTTTTTTTCCGATAGGGTCTCTGTCTGTTGGCCAGGCCGGAGTGCAGTGGTGTGATCATAGCTCACTGCAGCGTGTGAACGATTCTCCTGCCTCAGCCTCCTGAGTAGCTGGGACTACAGGCGTGCACCACCTCGCTTGAATGATTTTAAAAGTTTTGGTAGAGATGGGGAGGTGGAGTGGTGGTGGGGGTCTCCCCGTGTTGCCCAGGCTGTTCTGGAACTCCTGGCCTCAAACAGTCCACCTGCTTTGGCCTCCCAAACTGTTGGGATTGCAGACGTGAGCCACTACACCTGGTCAAATCTTGTTTAATTATTCTGCCAATTCTGCACTACAAGAATGTCTACACTTTGCACGTTGGGAAACTGAGGCCTGGCTTGTGGCATGGCTGAGACCTGGATGCTCTAGGCCTGTGGGGTAAGGCTGGGGAGCCTGGAGTGAGGAGAGGTAAGGCTCCTAAAGAGGAGGAGGGGCTCAGAGGAGCTCGTCACAGGGTGGGGAGCTCACCTTGAAGTCTCCGCTGCAGCCCTTGTACAGGGGCACGAAGAACTGCTCGGGGCTGGGGACGGCCCATATCTTCTTCCATAGCCTGAGGGGGCAGAGAGGGGTGAGGACCCTGACATCACCAGACAGCAGCCTGGCCTCCCATTCGGACGCTCCCCAGCTTCATCCTACAGGAACTTCCGATCATCACAAGACACAGCCCAGGCGCCTCCCTCCTTCCCTGGGGCTTGGTTTCCCCATCTGTAAAATGGGAGCAGCGAGTCTCCATCACACGCTCCTGAAGGGATATTTAGATTATGTTCTTGGATGCCTGTTGTGTGCTGGGCAAATGTTGCCCCTTCTAAGCTTCAACTTCTTCATCTGCAACCAGGGGTGCGCACAGAGGCCATTGCAGAGGTGTGGAGTATTACAGCCACCTCTTCACCACCACCTAGAGGCCCCTGATGCCCCTTGAGCCTCAAAACTTAAAACCCACTGGACAAGACCACAGCTGAGGTCTCTGTTTAAGGACACAGAGTTTCAATCCCAATTTCTCCACTTCGGAGCTGTGTGACTTTGGACAAATTCCTTGACCTTTCCATGCCTCGGTTTCCTCATTTATAAAATATGGGCAACTGAAGTGTCTCATGCTCATAGGGCTGCCATGGGGGTGAAGGGAGTGCCCTCCACAGTGTCCAGCACACAGTGGCTGTGAGTTGGTTGTTATTCCACCGTCGTCATTGTTACCATGCTGACAGGCATGTTCTCCAACCCTGGGTGGGTCATAGATGGGCAGTGGCCCATGCCGACCACCTTCCTGCCTTCCTGATCCCCTGGCCTCACCTCCACATTGGGTGGGTCTTCAGGCTCCAGAAGGCAGGAATGAAGACTATGACAAGCAGGAGGAGAAGCAGCAGGTGAGGGTTCCAGCCTTCCTTTAACTCTGGGAAGGAAGCAAAGAAAGGGTTAAATGGCACCAACTCTACCAGAGGCCACACGGGGTAGGCATGGTGGGAAATGGGTCTGGGGTAGAGTAGAAGGGGGTGGGAGAGGCTGCTACTTCTAGTGTCTTGAAGTGAGATGGATCTGGGTTCAAATCTTGTTCTCATTCCTCACCCCAGGCAAGTAACTTCATTTATCTGAGCCTCAGTTATCTCATCTGAAAAACAGGGCTGATTCCCACTTCAGAGTTAGGGGGATCAAATGCCTAACAGAAGAAGCAGCTGGCAGCCAACACAGGGCCTGGCCAGCAGGGGCTCTAGAAATGTCACTGAAGGGCTACATCTGAGGATGAACAACTGAATACCTCCCAGCTGTGCCAGGAAGCTCAGGGCTTAGGGTGGCTAGACCAGGACAAGATTTCGTACCAGGAGTGGGGTGTCCCTCCCAGCTTCACACCTACCCTCTGACTGGGTCTGAAAGATGACCGGGTCACTCCACTCACTCCAGGTCCCCTGGTAGGAAGAGCCAGGCATGGGCCCTGCCCGCACCTGCAGCTCATAGCTCGAGTCTTTGCGGAACTCCAGGGGGAGGAGGGAGACACTTCTTGAGTCCACTGAGATCAGCTTTCTCCTCGGACTCTGCCAGTACAAGGAAAGGATGCACCAGGTCAGGGTTAAACCAGGCCAGCCCCCGCCTCCAGCAGAGCCACCTCTTTTCCCAGCTTCCATCAAAGGGCCTGAGTGTCTCTTCTCTTCCCACAAGAATCAAGCTTATGCCTGAGTAGCTGGACTCAGGCATGGGGAGCACAGACTTGCCAGCACTGCCTGGCCCTTGCATGGGATAGGATGCTCTGTTTGATTTCTCTTTGATCCAATTCAGCCACTCACAGTCCTGGCAGTGGACTCTCCCTGCAGGACTGGGCATATCTCAGGAGTGGGAATGGTCTGACGGCACTCCAGGCAATGCATACTTTTGGAATTCTTCAACAGTTGAGGACATTCTCAACTGATGTATCGATATAAGTCTCAGTACATCAGTTGAGAATGTCCTCAACTGTTGAAGAATTCCAAGAGTTGACATACTGACATTCCCAATAGTGGGCATTTCTGGAACTCTTTTAACTACAGACATCTTAGCAATGGATACCTCTGGAAGTCTTCCACTGGGGACTTTCTAAAGTATGGCACTCATGGCCATCTCCAGCTGGGGCCATTCCAAAGGATGGACAATTCTAGGACTCTTCAGCTGTGACTGTTCTATCATTATTACTATTTTTATTTTTTAGAGACAGAGTCTCACTTGTGACTATTCTAAATAGTGGGCTGGAAGGACATCTCTCAAAGCCTTCATGTTTGAAACAATGGGCCTCTAACACTGGACATTTATTTATTTATATATATTTTTTGAGATCGAGTCTTGCTCTGTTGCCCAGGCTAGAGTACAGTGGCGTGATCCCAGCTCACTGCAACTTCCGCTTCCTGGATTCAAGCGATTCTCCTGCCTAAGCCTCCAGAATAGCTGGGGTTACAGGTACATGTCACCATGCCTGGCTAATTTTTGTATTTTTAGTAGAAATGGAGTTTTACCATGTTGCCCAGGCTGGTCTCGAACTCCTGACCTCAAGAGATCCACCCGCCTCAGCCTTCCAAATTGCTGGGATTACAGGCATGAGCCACTGCACCTGGCTGGACCTTCTTAATCATTGATACTTCTGAAACTCTCCAACTATGGCCATTCTAAGCAATTGGGAAGCTTCCAGATTGCCCCGTTTCTGAAACTTCTTCTATTGTGAGTACACTAGACCTGGGGTGGAGTCTGGGGAAGGGACAATCTCTTTGGCATGCTGACAGCCAAGGAGACAGGTTTGGGCAGGACAGATTATTCAGGGGTCTCCTACCTTGGGGAGAAGTGAGGGAGGAGGAGGGACCGCTGTAAGGGAATGCTCGCACCCTTGGTCTCTGTTCTTGGCCATGAATGATGATACTCGCCCGTCTCTCCCACCCGGATGCCCTTGCACTCCCTCCTCTCCCCTCCCCTCCCACAAAGCTGCACTGATCCCCACATTCCTCACCACAGCCCAGGGGTCTCCCCGGTTTCTGTACTGCAGCTCATACTGAAGCTTGCCCTTCAGCATGTAGAAGGCAGGGTCTTCGTAATCTGAGCGCCAGGAGATATTATACTGTCCTGAGAAGGTCACAGTCACGTTGAAAGGGGGAGCCGGCTTGACTTGGTGGGAAAACCCAGGAAAAGAAAATGGGGTGAGATTTTGCTGTAGGTGAAAAGGATTTGATGATGGGAAGGAGTCCTGCCTGCCCCCACCCCGGCCACCGTGCCTCACCCATCATGGATGAGATGAAGACAAACAACCCTGAGTGACTTTGGGCAAAGTACTACCGACTCTGGGCTCCAGTTTATCCATCTGGGACCTGAGAGATTAGGGTTGCAAACTCAGGGGCGGGCAGGTCACAGAGAGGGATGAAGTAGCTTTAGGGACTGTGAAGAAATAAAAGAGTCCGGCCGGGCGCGGTGGCTCATGCCTGTAATCCCAGCACTTTGGGAGGCTGAGGTGGGTAGATCACAAGGTCAGGAGATGGAGACCATCCTGGCTAACGCGGTGAAACCCTGTCTCTACTGAAAATACAAAAATTAGCGGGGTGTGGTGGCGGCGCCTGTAGTCCCAGCTACTCAGGAGGCTGAGGCAGGAGAATGGCGTGAACCTGGGAGGCGGAACTTGCCGTGAGCCAAGATCACGCCACTGCACTCCAGCCTGGGCTACACAGAGAGACTCCATCTCAAAAAAGAAAGAAAAAAGAAATAAAAGAGTTAAAAGTGAATGGCTCCAGCAGCACAGGGTGGTCAGCTTTTCTAAGTTTTCTAGGGAAACACACATGCACACGCATACGCACGTGCACATGCACACCCACACGCATGCCCACACTTGCAACACACACGCACACACATGTGCATGCACACACACATGCACACACATGCACACGTGCACACACATGCATGCACACACACATGCACACATACACATGAAATCTGAAACCCTGCTTTCTATGTACAGTAGAGCAAGTTTCAATATGAGGTGCAGAATGGGAAATGGGAGACCCCTGGAATTATCGTGTGAAATCTCCAAGGGTTTTTTCCCCCTAGAGACAGGATTTCACTGTGTTGCCCAAGCTGGAGTGCAGTGGTGCGATCATAGCTCACCTGTAGCCTCAACCTCCTGGGCTCAAGCCATCCTCCCACCTCAGCCTCCCAAGTAGCTGGGACTACAGGTGGATGCTACCACACCTGGCTAATTATTTGTCTATTTTGTAGAAACGGGGTCTCACTATGTTTGCCCAGGCTGGTCTCAAACTCCTGGCCTCAAGTGATCCTCCCACCTCAGCCTCCCAAAATCCTGGGATTGCAGGTACAAGCCACTGCACCTGGCCTATCTTAAGTTTTAAAGTTAGCAACCCATCCAAAAATAGCCTCAGCAGCGTCCTGGCAAATCCATTCCTTTTCCATTTCTGTTCAATGATGGCATCATTTTCTTTCAACCCCAGCTACTTCAGGCAGTTGAACACTCTTCTTAGCATGAATGCTAATGGTGAGGGCTGCCATTTACTCAGAGCCTGCCTGGCTGTCCTGCTCTGGGCAGTTTGACACCCCACAGTGGCCCTGGGAGGCCAATCTGATGGTCCCTATCTTTCAGCATCTCCCAGCAAGAGCAGAGCTCAGCCATAACAGCAAGCTTTCATGGGCGGCCTCCAGGTGAAGGTCAAAGCCGGCATTCTGTTTTTGCTCCATTCGAAGGACATTTCATGAACTTGAGCAGAACACAGTATGTTAATGGCCTCAAATTCCTCTCTTGTAAAATGGGCCCAGTTACCGTATCATGGGGCTTGTTCAAAGGGATGAAGCTATTTAGCAGGAGGTGGTAACTTCAGAGGAACTGAGTGGCAAGTGTCTATTAGTGTCAGAGAGGAGTTGCAGGCCTCTGCCCTCACCTTCTCCACTTTCTCTTCTTGTTTATTTCCTCCCTTCCTTCCTTCCTCCCTCCCTCCCTTCTTTTTTTCTCTTCTTTCTTTCTTTTTTTTTTTTGAGACAGAGTCTCTCTCTCTGTCACCCAGGCTGGAGTGCAGTGGCATGATCTTGGCTCACTGCAACCTCTGCCTCCTGAGCTCAAGTAATTCCACAGCCTCAGCCTCCCAAGAAGCTGCACACCATCACACCTGGCTAATTTTTGTATTTTTAATAGAGAAGGAGTTTCCCCATGTTGGCCAGACTGGTCTTGATCTTCTGACCTCAAGTGATCCACCCACCTCAACCTCCCAAAGTGAGCCACCACACCCAGCCACCTTCTCCACTTTCAATCTGCCACCATCCAGCACTCTGCACCTCTCACCCTGTGATCTTGTTTACCACGTGCCTCTCTCGCTGGGCTCTTAGCTCCTTGGGGCGGAGGTTTTGTCCTCCAGGTTCAATCTGTGCACACAGCTCCTGGAACACAGCCTGGGGCACAATAGGCCCTCAGTAAATATTTAGCAAATTAGGCTGGGCAAGGTGGCTCATGCCAAAAATTTCAGCACTTTGGGAGGCTGAGGTGGGGGGATTGCTTGAGGCCAGGGGTTCAAGACCAGCCTAGACAGCACAGCAAGATCCCAGCTCTACAAAAAATTTAAAAATTAGCCAGGATGGTGATATGCACCTGTAGTCCCAGCTACTCAGGAGGCTGAAGTGGGAGGATCGGAGAGCCCAGGAGTTCCAGGCTGCAATGAGCTGTGATTGTGCCACTGCACCCCAGCCTGGGGGACAGAGCTACACCCTGGCGCTCTCTCTCTCTCTCTCTCTCTCTATATATATATATATGTATACACACATATATATAAATACACACACACACACATATATACACACACATATATATATTTGTCAAATTAACAAATGAACCTTTCAAGGCCTCCAGAAAGGAGCTCTAAGGCTGCCTGTGATCCTGAAACCTGCACTGAGGGCTTCCACCGCGCCCCGAGGTGACGGAGGTGCACGTTTTACAGAATGCCACGGTGAACACTGGGTTGTTGCTGTTGCTGTTCCAGCGATGGGATGTTTTTGACTGAAATCGTTTCTAACCCCTCTTTTGTCCTCCCCGGGGCAGGTGGAGGCCAGCTCTGGGCTTCCCTGTGTGGCCTGGGTGAGGATCAGTCCCAGAAGACACCAGCGTCCTGAGAACGGCCCCATGGGTACTCGGGAGATGTTTGCAGAGCCCGGGGGTCGTGAAGGGGGGCTGCTCAGCCCAGCGAGGCCCAGGACCCAGGAGGAGGAAGGGCCCCTGAGCAGGAGGTGGTTAGAAAATCACTTCCTGCCCCAGCTGGGCCCAGGCTAGCTGCAGATCCTGGCAGGGAGAGAGAGAACACCAGAGAGAAATGCCTGGATTCACACTGCAAGAGAAGTGGCAAGGAGGGGCCCCATCTCTGCCCCGAGCTCTCCTCTGCTTCTGAGAAGCTGTGGGGGTGAGGGGTGTGGGGTGGCCTGGGCGGTGGGGCTGCTGCCTGCCTCAGTTCACTCAGCCCGGAGGGGCCCCTCCTCCAGATGGTGCATGAATGTGCAGAGAACCTCATGTCCTGGATCCCAGATCCGTGTGGCTGTGAGTGTGTGAGAGTGTGTGGGTGCCTCTGAGAGATAATGCGTGTGTGAGCGCGCATGTGTGTGAGTGTGTGCATGTGCGTGTGTGTGAGTCTGTGCATGTGTGTGTGCATGTGTGTGTGAGAAAGGGCATGTGTGTGAGAATGCATGTGCATGGAAGTGTGCATGTGTG